TATATTACATATCAGATTTCGGCACAGAAGGTTGTTGACAAAAGCTAAGGTCTTCGAAAAGTAAATTACGTCTTCCAGCGCTGGTCTTATCTGGGATTAACTTTAAATGCTGGAGAGGCCACTGTATGGTAAAGTAGTTCTTAAATGAAAATGTCAGTTCACGGGACAAATTCACACCATATGTGAGAAATCTGCGACTGAGGCTTATTGCTCGCTCTTAAATACTTCTACTACGTTATGAGTGGTTGCAAACAGGACCAAATTGAATATATGCAATTCTAAGGTCATACCATGCATTTGATGGAAGCAAATTCGCGTACTTCATTATGAGTTGCTAAAATTTCCCGCAACAATCTCAGCCGATCTGTATCCAAAGCATTCAAAGAGAAAAAGCCGCAATAAATTGAGAGATGCGGTAAAGCAACTTTGTAGCTTGACAATGCTGGATGTCTTGCCGCAAAGTCCATCACGTTAAAATGGAAAGTTCGCTCCCACCCATCGTATTCTTCAGACATATGGCGCCTTCTGATCACTACTACTGTATTTTGCACTTTCGTTCTTATGAAGAAATCAAAAATTGAATCAATAGGTGGATCGCCTGAAAAGATAAAAAGCAAACAGTGGCCAGCGCTGGGCAATATTGTGATTGCTCAAGCGTAAATAGTTTTTTACAATGCGTGAAAACTTGAATGTCGAAGAAAAGTTGTACATGTATGAACATCTAGTACGACACCATAGGCTGACGGTAGACGATAAAAACGGACGGAAGTTGGATAAAAAATATAAAGAAAAAGGAAAAAAGGAAGGACAAGAGAAGAAGAAGAAGAACATAAGTGCAGGAAACTTTAGTAAGTCGACCTCACCGCAGTGCCAATACACAATAAAAGGAATTTCAAAAGTTACTTTGACAACTGAAAATTTCCTATAAACAGCGAAGTGGAAGCCACAGTCTAGCATAGTGAATGAGAAAGTCAATCATATTAGTCGAAATTTTACTAAGACACTTGATTTGTGCATCCAGGACAGGTAAAAAATCAACTTTTGTAAGAAAATTTACTTTCCATGCAACGTATGTTCTTTTTTTATATTAAACTTTGTTTAAATGACATGTAGTGTAACTTATACAATATATGTTTGTAAAATTTAAATATTTAATTTAAATTCATGAAAGTAGATTTCATAGAGAGAAGAGAAAAGCGCCAAAAGCGATTACTTAACAATATCAACAACAAGCTTTACAAGCAGACCAGCAAAATATTTACTTATAGAAACTCTACAACAAATAAACAAAGCATTTACCAAATGAATTTCAAAATATTTAAATTTTAAACTTCAATGTTTATATAAACAAATACGAATCCAAACTGTCGTTTACACATATATATTTATATGGTATAACAAAAAGGCATTTCCATTCATTGCGTCAGAAAAGAAAAAAAAAAGAAAACTGAAACAAAAGAATTACACTTGTTTTTATACCCCTACGCGAACGATGTAAGTGTGTTAGTTTTATCCTTGCCTTGGTAACTCAGCAGCATAACAAACTCCCTAAAGAATTTATATTGCCTATTGATGCCTCGGCCCCTTCTACCGGGTTATGTTGAAACGCTTCCCAAAGCCAAACTTGAAATATGAGTCTTAAAATTATATACCATTGCGCCCAGGTTAAATTTAAAACCAGTTGTAGTTAAACAAGGCTTCTTCATCACTTCGCTTAGTCCAATTTTTCGCTTATTTGCTTATAAATTATTAAAAATTATACTTTGTTGTCATATTAAAGTTTAGCTTTGATGAAAACCCTTCTTTAGTATAGAATTTAAAAAAAAATAGACTTGTTTGGTCCAAATTTAATGCAATTAATTTTTATATCAAATGTTATCATTAAATTTTGGAAAATTACAAGTCTTGGTATGTATAAGAACAGTTATATGAACGGGGACTGAAAAAAAATCAGTGTTCCATCCGTTCCAAGCTTTTCACATCAATTTCATTTTTCGAAAAGCTATTAATCAGCGATTTTCAATACAGATTCTTACTAAACTTCATTACATCAGATCTCGTCAATATAAGTCAAAACTTGGGACTTGTAGGTTGAACACAACAATGCATAGACGGGCATCAGACGGAATGACTTGCCCAACCATAGTAGGGTACCAAATTCAATATCTTAAGAATTGCGATTGATAGGTCGGCCATAAAAATGCGAAAGCAGACATCAGACATACAGACGAATCGACACGGAGACGGATGAACAAACAAATACTTAGACGGTCGATCAGGCCGCTTAAGAACGGGCAGGTAATAGGCAAAGTAATAGACATACAGACAAACGAGCAGACAAACGGGTCGATAGTTAGACGAATGAAGAGGCAATCGGATGGACCGACAGCCGTTAGGAAGATAAACGGGTGGGCAGGCAATCTGATGGACAGCCGGACGGACAAACAAGCAAACTTGAATTGATTTAGTAAATGGTAATGAATCGATCAGTATAATAAAAGGAGGATCCCATTTTAATCCTTTGCACAAACTTAATATAACCGGCAAGATAACGATGTAGAACATAACGAGCGTGAGCCGCAAAAACCCCCGAACACGCGTAAAAAATTGATAAACTGCAATTCGTAACAGATATTGGACTAAAGCTGAAGGCTCTTAAATTAGCTAAGTACTGATAAGTGCAAGAAAGAAATGGGAGTGATCACGGACAAATATACTCAACTCAGAGAGAAAATGTAACTTCTGTCCACAAGAAATATAGAACCCCAGTGGGGTTGTAAGCATTTCTGCCGGCTAAAAGAAAATCGTTGCAATCGCTTACTTGTTTTTTGGTATACTTTCTATAAAATTGAATGCAGCTATAAAGAATGCTAACCCGCCTTTAACGTAGATTTTTGCCAATCACTATCTCAACTATGAGACTTTTTGAATAAGATTTGAAAATATTTTTTCTTAAAATTTTCGCTCAATAAATGCCTTAGTTCGATAATAAGTTATGGCCTGTCAATCTTTTAATTATTATATGCCTGTTTATATGTAGGCAGTTCATACCCACTTCTCGGATTGACATTTTAATTAATCTTAGACAATGTTCTCTATCTTTAATCCTAACTATCTGCTTTGGATTGTAAAATGTAATTTTTCACTTTCAACCCTAATCTAAAATTATCAACAATTCGAACACTAAGCTATAGCTCTTTGCATTCGTTGCGACGGCAAAAGCTACAGCAACGATACACGATAGATGAACGAAAGTTATATATGGTGGCTGACATGCATTTCTGAGTGTTGGAAACAGAAAAACCAATTCTCTCCAACATCTTTTCTCATTTAGTATAAAAGAAAAGCAAAGCAAAAAATTATATTCGGTTTTAATCGAATGTTTTACTACTTATTTACGCCTAGATCTATTCGCTCACTATATCGATGGTGTACTCTATCGTACATATCATACCCAGGACTTTGTAGATAATTATAGAAAATTGACATCCTTCGCCTTTTATTAGTTGTGGTACTTTGATCCGAGTTAACTAATATTTATACTTGACACGTAGATTAAGCCGCCAAAGGATCTTGAGCAAACATGAAAACGTAAGTAAGAATGCGTCTCATTTAAGCAGAGAATCAGAGAATGAGAGGAAAATGTTTTAGACCAAATTTGCTTTTGTAGGTGAAATGGCAGACTCACATGGCTGGTCTGTTATAAAGCCTACTTCCGCTACGCCTTGTATAGGGAAATAACAAAGTGTACATTTTTCTATTGAGCAAGCGAACCAAAACATTGACAATATCTATTGTAATTTTTATTTTTCATAATTTATATAAAAATTTTCTGAATAAAGTTCTTTAATTTTTCTACATAAGCTGTAGGATGGTCAACGCACACAGTTTAAGAAAACCTGGGCTATAGTCTTGAAATTCGAGATAAGCTGATTACACAATTGAAACCAATTTTGAAATTTGAAAATCTTCTTATCCGGTATTCTTTAATCTCGATCTACTTAAATGCCAAAGATTATATTATAGATATGTTCGGCACATTTGCTGTACAAGTAAATAAACTGTTCTTTCCATCATAAGTTTGCAGAAAAACAAAAAGCACATACTTCAGCTCATATTGTTCTCTCATTCTGTCTTTCTTGTTATTCAAAGAAAACAATGGTAAATAAAGGAAAAACTTAAATTTTTATAGCACGTACCCGCAAATTTTTGTTAAAAGAATTGTGTACATAAAATCGGGAAGCTTCCTGTTTAATCCAAAAAAAAAAAAAACAAATGCTGCTGAATCGTGACGATGGCGATGTCAATGGCAGAGATCATTGCACTGACGATGAAGTCATTTAGTGAGATTAGCTGCATTTAGCTTCTTGTGATCTCCTCCCAGCCACCGAAAGCCTCATTAGGGAACATTATAAGAAACAGCTAAAGCAACTGTGCCTAGTATTAAAGCGAAAACGATCGGTTCATTAACCAGACAGATATTCTTCTTTCTAACAAATAAAGTGAAAAGAGGGGAAATGTTAGGTACGTTTGTTTTGTAACAAAAAGTAATGACACAACGAACGCCTATAATTTATTTTTAGTAACAAGCTCGAGTCTTTACTTAACAACTTTATTAAATCTTTTCAGGTCTGCCAAGATTCTTCAAGTTTAGCAATTTCTAAGCATATCATAACAGGGTTACCATCGTTCTTAAAACTGTTATTAATCCCCGCAAGTAAAAAATTCCCATGTCACACTAATCTTTGCTACTTTATCAAAACTTACGAATGTTGTTCTTTCGCAAGATATTTTGTTCTGTTGAAAGTACCGCAAGGCGTGTGCTAGTTATAATATCTTCAGTCCGTCTCGTATAACATTTGTATTAAGCAAAACATGTAAGATTAAAGGCTTAAATTACGAAACGTCAGAGAAGTTGAACAAAAGCACTACAAAGCTCCAAGTAAAAAGGTTTAGTTTTAGTTTCAAAGTAAACAGTTTTGTTTATAACATTATTAGGCTTACGTAAGTTTTATGCTACCGCTGGCAACAATACCAACAACTTCAGCGTATAAGTCAGCTAAGGAAAAATTGAAGAAAAAATTTTATAAATCAATAAGCGTAAGCTTAAAACAGAAGAATTCATAACCTCAAAGTTTAGAAACATAAATTAAACAACCAACAAAATCAATGCAAGCAAAAAAATTAATTCAAGCAATTAATAAATAGTAAGAACTCATCACGCTACTCAACATATTGACTTTATTGTAAGCAGACCTAATCCGTTTAGACTAAAGAAAGCAAATACCAATGTTCTAGGCTTAGATCTTTAGTTTAAGACTTCCATTAACACACTACAGCAAAGAATGTCAATCGGAAGCAAGCAGCAAAAGTATGAAATATTTTAGGATTAAAGTAATAAAAGTCTAAGTAACTACGTATAAAATATGATTTACCGCAGTGCGATTCGGACCCGCGGCCGTTGACTTATCAGTTGGGATTCTTTCTTCCTCGCCTATGCGGTAGCCCAGTGAGTATGGAAATGGATCAATTATTATTTTTTAATTATTTAATATTGATGTGCCGCGCTAATCATAAGAAGTAAGGGGTCCGTTACCGAGAGTGATGCTCATTAACGGTAATAATTTATAAAATTTCACAAATCAACTTATCCAAGGGAGTAAAAGCCGTAAAGTGGACCACGGGGCAGCATATTCCGATTTTTCAAAACCAGTTGTCATTTGGGACGTGGTCAACCAATGTGTCAATTCGAACCATTTTTAATAAAGCGCTGGTTCAACATCCTTCAGTATGCCGAAGTTCATCAAAATTCTTCAACAATTTCGTCCTGAAAGTCGAACAAAAGAAAACGGAAAGACGGACAGACAAGTGGACCGGAAAATCTCCTCGATGGTTCTATTTCAAGTTCTACTTGATGTTGCATACGTCCGCACAAACTTAATAAACCCTTGTACCACAACTGATGTAGAGTATAATAAATTACGCGATGGAGAAAACGTGTACTTAACGATGTGGAACATTGCTTCAATAAAATACTTTTTATGATTCTCTTGAATTAATGATCTTTTTTTCTTACAAAAACCGGTCGTGACTTATTCTTATGCCTTTTATGTTATGTATTATATCTGTATGAAGATATATATATTTATGTGTAGATATAGATTTTCTTGTCCTCCTCAGTTAGGAATAAACGATAAAAATAAAATAACACCAAAAACGAAATAAAGCACACTTACAATCCTACAACCGATATATACGATTGGTCCAAGACTTATACTGCAGTGAAGTACACATTTCAGATCCTTTACAATAAATATCGTAGCCCATATTATATGTTATAATATATATATATAACCATCATCTTAATGTAAAAATATGTATGCGTCACATATATATATATATATATACATGCAACATTTATATACGTAATATCTGGTCGACTGGTAGACTTCAACTAATTTTATAAGACTATAAGATTAAAATCATAATTGATTCACATATCAGTCAACAGCTAACAAAGAACCCACTAATTCTTCTCAACTTGCTCACATTACTAAATCGAGAAACTTTATCTATAACGTTTGGCTTCATTGCAACGATTCGTTTCCAACAAAATTTGAATTTTACCGAAGTTTTCAACAAAAGCAAAGTACGGTGGTTAAGGGAAGAAACCCAAGAATGTAATATTTTCTCATCCCTTTTATAAATCACACTAAACTAATAATAATAACTACCACCATTTTATGTCTTGGTACATTTGTATTTTATTTAAATTTATTTTTCAAAAAATTCTCGTTTAATTTATGAATTTTCAGATACAAGTAATAGTTTCAAATCCGTTGAAAGCATACTTACCTGGCGTAGGGGTTACCGTGATCACGAAGGCGGTTCCCCCGGAGTGAGGCTTGGCCATTGCACTAACGGTTGAGTTGACCTCCGCGATTATTCCTAATGCGAATAACTCGTGCGTGTAATTTTTGATAGCCGGGAATGGCGTACGCGCCGTCCCGACATATACTAATAAATTTGAGAGCAGTTTTTAATATACTTTTCTTAATTTGTAGTCCATTGACTGATATGCGGCGGAACTTGGTGTAGCTTAGAAGAGCTGATGACAAGCATTGGAGGAGAAAAGGCGGCTTTGTATGTTATAAACTAAAGGTTTCTTTACGAAACGGGTACGAAAAAAGCAATGTTGCAAGCAAGGAGAAATGGATTTTTTTAAACCGACTTTAATATACTGATGGAGAGAAGCAAGTCAACTCACATATATAAAGTATTTGGGTCTAGAATTGCTCAAGCTTGCAATAATCAAAAGTATGATATATAAAATACTCTGCTAGTACGTACGAGGAAAAAGTACAGTACAACAAAGGAATTTCCATGTTTTCAATTTTTGTCTGAAATTTTCTGCGCCCCGTTAGTTCCGAAAGTCTCAACCTTATAATTGGAGCTACTTTTTTAATTTATAAACTCTAGATAAAGACGTTTGTTCTTGATAAATATTTTTATGCAGTTAAAAGTAACTGCGTGAAGGAATCTTTTTTTTCCAATTTGCAATTTTTTAGAACCAAAACCTTTTCAATATTCGAGGGGCCGTTGTGCGAGCGTCACATTGAAAGTACCTGCGCATTCTAATATAAATAAAATATTTGATTTTAGTTAAGCTATTAGACTGATTATCTACATCCGCTTTTTTACAAACCAAGAGCGTACACCCTGATCCCAGAATTTGTTTGTTATTTTTAGAGCTTTTGCGGAATGAACAGATCCACTTACTATAAATGGAATCTAAACTGTCTCTACGAGCAAAGATTACGTTGAAATTTGCGCATTCAGCTTTTTTTGAGTAAAGTTAGGTCCGCGCTAGATTTCATTAAGAGGTGGTCCAGAGAGCTTCAGGATCCTTACATTACAAAAAGGCTATACATGTGTTTAATATGTGTGTACACGTATGTTGTGTGGTCTCCTTTCTATAGGTGTTATGTAGATTCAATTGAATCCGTTCAAAAGTAATTCTTGCCGTTTTGCCTTAAAAAATTGGGTTGAGACCCGCTTGTCTCTCTGCCTACTTATGAAAGTAGATTGCTTCTGTTATCCTTACCACCACCTGAGAAACGTAGATTTATTCTAGATGGCTCCTTCTTAATTAAGTTAATTAATGGTACTATCGATTCATGCACACTACTTGATGAGATAAGCTTCAACGCCCCTAATCACCTCTCTAGGCACTTTATCTTCATTCAGCTTAATTAACGTAAATATAGCTATGAGCTGTTTGTAGAAACCTAAATGATGTCTGTCACTTAATCTCATTGTCGGACTCTATGCCTATGTCCTATTTAAAATAACTTGCAGTCTTAATACCTCGTTACGATTCGTTCACTTGGAATTTGAAGCTTTACTAGTTGTGGCTATACCTCTGTGCTAGCTGCATACATGTTTTTTTTTTTATTTTTCTTTCTTTCCTATTTATATTATATATATATATATATATATATTTATATTATATATTATTTATAATTATGATTTAATTTTTTTTTTTCTTTGCTTGTCCTTATATACTTAATACTAGTTTTAAATAATAATTAGAATAAGTTCTACTTCCAAGAATCATATAAATTCGGCTGTTGATTTAGTTTGATTGAGTAAATAAAGACATGTGCCATTTTAGTAATTTTAAAGTTTCGAGAAACTCGCGGCGAGAAACGCTCACCAAATATGCAGTAAACTTCGACATCTATTTGTAATTGAACGCGTATACGGCTGAAAATTAACTTAGAAATATAATTTCTATCCCTAAAGACAAGTAAGAACATTATTGTCGGGTAATTAGATACCCTGCACTAATTCGCTTAATACAATTATTTTTATATGGTAATAACACACAAAGTAATGTACATTATTCTCATGCAAAGGTATACCTTCACGAAGACCCTCATATTGGAGCCGTTCACATGACGTGATCAAACTTTAGCACAATTAATTTAATTTCTAAAAACTTTGTTATGTTTCAGTTTCCGTCTTGAAAAACTGTAAATAAGACTTTCTCTCCATGGAAAGGCTTGTTTTTCGTGATAGCATGAGATATAACAGATAGGCCTAAGCATATTCAAAATCCTTACCATACCTTTTTTTGCTCAACTGCTGCTACGGGCTAATTTTCATCATAAAATATTAAAAATTATACTCATGAAAAATCTTACATGGAGTGGAGTCCAAGAAGTAGAGCCATGTCCTTCAGTGGACCAAAATCAGTAATTTTGATATTAATGGCAATTTATTATTATAAATCAATTTTCACCATGAAATATTGAAAATTAGCCATTCTTACCGCATAACCACTAAGCTTTTGTAGGATCGTTAGTATGAGGGAGGATTCAAAAAATAACCCCGGTCGATTCAAACTTGTCGCACCAACTTAGAGAGCTAAAATTTTGAAAATTAAAATTTTTTTCGTTATAACGAATTTTCAAAATAGGACGCTATATGGAGAGAGGTCGAAAAAGTGGATCTATTCGAATCATTTTCAATGGCGTTCGTCCGTGGATCAAAGCACGTCAATATGTCAAATTTCATCAAAAAATTTCTATGATTGTGGACTTTAGGCCACATAGCAAATTGGACAGACGGATAGACGGACAAACACGCTTAAATCAAATTAGAAAATCAAGTAAAATACTATAGCGGGCCATGTGTTACCATAGTGTGCCTTGTGGGTTTTACCTACGTCCAAACAAACTTAATACACCCTGTACCGCAAATAGTGTAAGGTATTATTATTATTATTATTATTATTATTAATTTCGCACAGAGAAATAAATTCTAAGACTAAACTCTTAAAAGCACTAGCATCTAAGGCTATCGGCTTTTATTAAAAAACTCTGCCGCACTTGAGATTCGAACCCACGACCATTGACTTACTAGTCGAGATTCCTCGTCTTCGGCTACTCAGGCGGATTTGTGTAAGGTACAAAGGGTAGTTCGTGTTAATTGTTCGGGCAGTGGTATGCATCACTATAAACACTACACCAACGTGCGGTGTGCAAAGAGAATTGAAATATTTCGTGACTCACTACAGGCGGGTTGCTTTAGTCGAAAACACAATGATTGCGTTACGCGTTGCGCATAACTCACGAACTGTCAACCAAATATTGGTTGTGTATGTTAAAATGTTGATGAACATACTATAGTTTGCGTTGCTTTGTGTGTGATCGCAAATTTTTGGACAAACTCTTCATATTTTTGAATGCATTGTTTTTGACAGACAAAATAGTCATGTATTTATATATATTTATATATCTGTCTATTCTATACGGAAGAAAAATGTTTGTTGTGGTGTTGTCGTCGCTTTATTAATATTCACGCTTCATCAACGTTTATGTGAATAAATGTTCGTGCGATTTTGCTTTGGCAACGCACGAAAGCACTGTGTTTCGCTCTTTATTTATTTTTGTAACTGTGTGTACACCATATAAAGTATGTGCGATGTGAGAAGAGAATTGAATTTTTTATGTCTCACTCTACAAGCAGGCAGTTAACTTTATTCTCCGTAACTAACACTTTTACATTTTTCTTGCTTATCTCACTCTAGCATGAATATACGTTTTGCTTGATTTTATATTTCTTGCCAAAATTCTTAGTCGGTTTATGAATTTTTAAGTACAAGTAATAGTTTCAAATCCGATGAAAGCATACTTACCTGGCGTAGGGGTTACCGTGATCACGAAGGCGGTTCCCCCGGAGTGAGGCTTGGCCATTGCACTATCGGTTGAGTTGACCTCCGCGATTATTCCTAATGCGAATAACTCGTGCGTGTAATTTTTGATAGCCGGGAATGGCGTACGCGCCGTCCCGACATATTTGAATAAATTTAAATATTTTAACTAAACAGAAAGTTTGAATAAGATAAACAAGCGGAGTGATTAAGGGCGTGCGAAGTTTTTCTTTTCTATTTGTTCAAGAAACTTCACATATGTGTCCAACTTATTTATTTAAAGAATTCTTCTGCAGCCATTTTCTTTGCAATCTTTTCTAATTATCATCATCGTTTTGTTAAACGAAACAGAACGAATTTTCAATATTGTTATACTATTGCGTGGTCGCTTGATTCCATTGTAGTTCAGGTACTGAAGAATATGCGTGGAAGGAATGTTATACCTACAACCGAACAGTGGGGGTAAATACGTTTTGTCAAAACGGTTGCCATATTCAAACTTTAGGGTTCCTGTTAAGAACATATGTTCTTGGCCAGCATCAAATTTTAAAGCGATTTAATGTCCGAGTGTCCGACTGTTGCAAACATCCTCCTGGCAGGAAAAAACGAAGCTATCAAGTTCAAATTCGTCAAAAATATTGAAAATTCTTGCACGCAATTTGCTATTGAAAATGGGCCAAATCGGTCGAAGAACACGCTTACAATACCGAGTAAAGTAATAGCACCTCTGCCATTCAAAAGGAATAAAAAAAAGGTTTTTTTGATCATTACTCATAAATTATAGCAGCTAAATCTAAAAAAATTTAAACGCATATTACATTAGTAATACTGTAGTATCTGCAAAATGGGAAAAATTGGACACGCCTAAACAGTATTATAGCATGTCGGAATTTAAGTTTTTTGTGTCAATGCCTTCAAAATGGGAAGAAGCAAAGTTTGAAAAAAATTCTTGGCCAGTACAAAATTTGAAATGCACTCAAACTTATTCGTCTATTTTCCTGTCCGTCTGTCTAACTGTGTAGTGAAAATGCTCTCGTTAGCGATATGCATGAATATACCGCATGCAAATATGCAAAAAAATTTGGAAGAGACATAAACTGTACACAGGACACATGCAATGTGTCCGGACGACTATTCGAAAAAACTTTTATTTTAAAAATAGAAAATATCGTTCGCGCCCACTCCATATTTTAAAGCATGAAAATTTATTTTTTTTTAACTTTTTAGAATATCGATAATGAGTATAAAAGATTCGGCCACAACCCAATGTAATTTTCGTACTTGTTATCATTGTACATGTGTAGTTTTTAAATTAGGAATAAAAATGTCAACTGCTTTGCTATTGAAAACAAAGATATTCTGTGAGATTGAATTTCGGCCGATTTAATCCATTTATAACACCAATCGATGAGCGCATTTTCGAGGTCTACAGAGTGTTAATCTTCGTGTGTATTACACAGTCGGGCAGACAGGCAAACGGACAGATGAATAGAAGGATGGAACATGCTTAAATTTATTCACAATTTTATGTTGACCAAAACTATATGTACTTCCTTCTAGGAGTTGCAAACGTTTTGTAGCAAAATCAATACACTTTCAGCACCACAGCAGTGTGTATAAAAAAGAGAAGAAATAACTGATGGTATTGAAAAATTCTTCACTACACACCGATAATAATAGAAGAGCAAAGAGGATAGTGATTAATATTTCAATGTTTTCCCTTGTTCCCATATATAGCTTTTAGTCTGATGCGTTTGAATTGGCTTAAAAAAAAAAAAAAAATACAAACATTGTTGCACCGCAGAAACAATCTGATACTTTTATAAAATCATATATCACATGGAAGATAAAAGAATTTTTGATAATTCTTCAAAAGATTTTTCTATTTGAGCAAACAAAGCCTTAAGATTAAATAAAGAAAGAAGAGCTTTAAGTTTTATGTGTACATATCGCTTCAATTAAGATAAACAAAAACAAGTAATAGTTCATAACGCACAATTAAATACCCTACATCATCTTAGAGGTATGCATCTAATGTCGAAGACCAATCAAGAAGAAGAAGATAAATTTTCAAGAAAATTCTTATATAGGATGGGAGTCAGAAAATAAGCGAAAATAGTCCAGTTTTGGTACAGTTACGTTACAATTATGATGATGATTCATCATGAAGCATTGAAAATTAGACATTTTTGTCATATTAATTTTACTTTTCGAGGTAGTAGAGAGTATTCAAAAAATTTCTCTATCCGGTCCAAAGTTTTCAATCCATTTTAGAACACGGGGATGTCCTAACTTGGCCACATTTGTCGAGGAATTTTTTAAAAATGTTGTTTTTTGTGTGTTTTTTAGTGACGTTTCTAAATAGGGCGTTATATAAAAATTGGTCGAGAAAGTGGTCTGATCGAAAGCATTTTCAAAGGCGTTCACCTTTGCGCTACAATACGTCAATGTAAATTTTATCAAAATGTCTCAAAAATTGAGGCCTGTTGAGGTTGAACGAAAGATAACTGACAGAACGGACAGACAGACAAGCAAGCTTCTATCAATTCAGAAAGTAATTCTGAAGCAATCGATATAATAAGAACTGGGTCTATTTCAAGTCCTTTTGTGTGTTGCATAAATCCACACAAATCATTCCCATTTGGACTATAAATAATGTAAGTACTGTAATGTAGTGTAATTTTTCTTAGCCATAAAGTAAACGCATTACATATTTACTCTTAGGAAAAAAGACACAACTGTTGTCATGGAATTGCTTTAAAGTTTCTCTACACACCATTGTTATATACATATATATCATACTATTAGATATCGAAAACATTAGCAACACTTTTGGTAAAGTTTGTTATCAGATAAGTCAGAAGGGGAGTTCTCAATATAAGGCAAACTTAGGAAAGGTTGAAAGTGCCTCGATTAACTTATCTGTACTGTAAAATTTTAATTCTCAATGATACAAATTTATTGATCTTGGTTTATAATGACGGCATAAGCAAACCTAAGACTTTTGTTGAGTCAAATTTCGTTTATTATCTTCAACGAAAATTTGCACGCATATCGTTTAACACACCTTCTAAAGACAAACGCTCGAAATGTCTTTCTGTTCTGCTTCTTGTTCTCTTTCTTCTCTCTGCTTGGGAAGTCATAATGGTAAATAGAACTAACTGTTAAAAGTTTACTTATCAAGAATAACATTGAAACAAATTGAACCCTTAAATGCATATCGTTGCCAATAGTCTACATTCCAGTTCCACTTAATTTTAAAAAGGTGTAAATCTTATGCTGCGCTTCTTCTTACCTCGATTTACTTCTTTAGGCCATGGCAATAACATTACATTTAAATTTACAGAATAAAATAATTCAATAAAGCCCTTTTCTTAATTAATTTTTTTTTAGCCCTACGCTTGTATTCATTCGCCGCCGTAAAAGAGAAAATTTGTAAGAATACTTTACGTTTCATGATATTTTACTTGTTAGTAGGCTTTAAATCTTCTTCTTCTTCTTAATAACAACAACATTAAAAAAGTATATATATGTATATACAAAATAAAAAACTTCGTAGGTGTGTGTGAATGCGTCTCCGGATTGCATGAAGCTAAGCCTCCAAGAAAGTCTACACCGACGGTTGTACTATAATTTGAAACTTTACTTAACTATTCAAAAAAAAAAAAAAAAAAAAAAAACAAATAAGAACATTATACGGGCAAGGCCGACCTTTAAACAACCTTTATCACTTTGTCTAACACAATTCTTGTTTTTGTGTAAAATTATTATTGTGGGCCAAATTTCATCACCACATGTTAAAACTTAGACTTTTCTGCTCCTTAAAGGATCGATTTTCGTGAAAATCCTTAACTTAAACTTATACTAAGGCTGCTTGAGCTTCGTTTTGGGACCGCTTCCCCTGAACTACGCACATGAAAAGTATGCCTTTATATATAAACAAGGCATAATTTTTGTGTTCTATAATGAAAATAAGAATTGTGTTAGATAATGTGAGGTAGGGTGCTTAATGTTCGGCCTTGCCCGACTATATGTTCTTACTTGTTTTATGTTAAATTACTGCCTTGATATAATTTCCAACATGAAAGAGTGAAAAGTACATCTTTTTGTCGTGTGAACTTCAGGTTTCGTTGGTTCAAAATAGGGCTTTTTATATGGCGAGTGGCCGAAACATTTTCGATAGCATTCGTTCTTGGGCCAAAGTACGTGTGTGTATCAAGTTTCATCAAAACATCTCAAAAATTGACACCTATAGCTTGAACACAACTTTACGTGGGCGGACAAACAGACAGATGGACAGACAAGCTAAGATTCAGACTATGATTCCGAATCGAACGGTATAAAAAAAGGTGAGTCTATCTTAGGCCCTTCTAAGTGTTACATATGTCCGCAGAAACTTAATGTACTCTGGACCGTAAGTAGTGTAGGGCAAGGAAATTAATTTGTATACCCTCTCTCCCTCCCATTAAGTCGTTTGTCCTATGTATTCGTTCGTTTGTGTTCGTAAACTGATACCTTTGAGTAGAGAAAGTAATGCGGCTGGAAAAGCAAAGGCAAAAAAGAAACTGAAAAAATGCCTCAAATATTTATTTTAGCTTTTCTAAAGCATTAAAGGATATAATTAAAGATTTGCAGATGTAGGATAAACCATTTACAAATTTTATTTGTTGTTATTGCTATTTGGTTATTGATTAGAAAATATATTCTTTTCCTTCTGAGATAACCTTAATGTTATTGGAAATACTATTTAATTTACATATTTTGACAAAGCGTCTAACATCTACCTTAAAGAGATATTTCTAGTCTCCACTAATAGTGGTACGGGGAATATTAAATTGACGGTCAATTTATTATTGTGAACTAATTTTCATCGTGAAATATTAAAAATTATACCTTCTTGCATCCTACACGATTTGTGGTATAGGGTATATAAGTTAGTGCGGACCTATGTAAGACCCAGAAGGGCTTAAGCTGTAAGCTATGCCTTTTATTATACCGATCGTTTCAGAATCATTTTCTATATCGATTTAAACCTGTCTGTCCGTCTGTCAGTCTGATGGCTATCCGTCTGAATGTTGTCTCAGTATTTTTTTTCTAAAACAATTTTTGAGATATTTTGATGAAATTTGACGAACGCTTTTGAAAATCGGTCCACTTTTTCGACAACTCCCCATATAACGACTTTTCAGAATAGGGAGATTGGAGGTAAATGTTTGAACCTCCTCCCACATAACCCTTCCTGCGAAAACTAAAGCTTTATATGGTAGACGGATTGTCATTTCATATAATAATAGTAAATTGCCAAAGAACTACCTTACCGAATTTGGATCATAAGGGCCTGTTTTTTGGAAACTATCGCTTATAAGGGTTCTCATGAACCGCAATCCCTGTCAAAACAGCCTAATTGCTAATTTTTTTCTCACGAATATTTGCTTATGATAGTAATTAAATAAAAAAATTAGGTGGATGTAAGGATTTTGGATTACATAAGCCTAGTTTTTTTGGGCCACCACTTATATAGACGCCATCTCGAAACGCAAACTTTTATATGAAGAGAAAATCGAACATTGAAATATGGGGCTCTTAAGAAAAGTATGCCCGCTCATGAAAATAACGGGTAAGTTTTAGTGTATTATTACCGAAACGAAGTGGTGTAGGACTGTATTGTTCTTACTAGCGGGTATTAGATGCCGATCCTTGCACTGAGGTAAGCGAACTGAGTTACGGTATTGAAAGATCAGCCTAAGCAAAGTGATGGTGGAATATTATTAAGTCAATCTTGCCCGACTTTAATGTTGTTATTTGTTATTATTTAATTTGTAATTAACTATATAACAAGTAACAAAATTATATGCGGTCGTGACCGTCATATCCATCATCCTTTATCCTAAAAAGGACAACATAAACTAAGGGAATTAAATTTTCATGCTCTCTAATAAAGAGTGCGCGTAGCTGATTTTTTCTATATTCAAAATAAAAGTATAAAATGAAGTAGGCGTGGCCAATTTTGTACATTTTTGTAGAGATACTACAGCTTCAGCTGTCATATTTTTGTCTGCTATAGTATAGAGTTTTTTATTTCTTTTGAAAAACAGAGGTGTTCTCAGTTCCTTTGACCGATGTACTCCATTTTCAATACAAACCTGAATGCGAGAACTTCCAATGTCTCTGCCAAATTTGAAGATGATAGCTTAATTTTTGCGGCCAGAAGGATGTTATGCACGAAGAGATACACAGATGGACAAACGGACATGCTTAAAACAATTTAGAATTTGATGATAATCAAGAATATATATAGTTTGTGAGGTCTCTGATACTTTCTTCTGGCCGTTGTAAACCCCCTCATCCTTCGGAGAGCAAAAGTATCAATGCTACTTTAAAATTCTTAGCTCACAAAAAAAAAAAAAAAAAAAAAAAATCATTTTCTATTATATATAATTAATATCTAGTTTCATTTATTACTAATTCATTTATTACATAAGCAATTTTATTTACATTCATCAATAAATTGAACAGTTAGCCACTCCATGCCCAACTAATTATAGAAAGACATTGTTTTTATCGCGTTTTTTAAATGGAGAAAAACTGACGAGATTTGTACCGTTAACTGTCGCATGAGTTCGGATGAAAAAAAATTTATTTATTACAATAACGGAAATGCGTGCTTTTTCAATATAATAACCACCGTTGAACGTTAAAATTTTGCTCTTGCCTCGTAATCTTTCGTAAGCCACTAGATCATCGTTACACTTTGTTTACGTTTATTTAAACCACCATATTTTTGGTTATTTTCCGATATATATGTCAAGCCATATTTATGCGGGAAATTTTTTTGTAGACAAGTCAGTACGGTATTGGTGTAATATTTTTTATAGGACCAGCGGCAAGTGCACGGCGGCAAACAATCCTTACAATCAAGTACAATCTCTTGATCTGTACGCGACAAATGGGGCAGGCATTGCAAGCGACTTGGTAAACGAAATTCACATTCATTCACATTCTCGGCATATGAACGGTCTCGAACAGATGTCCGCATTTTGATGGGACTTGGAGTTTTAACATTGCATTTATATAAATTACGACGAGGTGCGTTTTCAAAACGTTCGCCGAACTTTGGTAATTTCTCTCTTGAAAGCCAACGTTCCAGCAATTCCCAGTGTGAATGATAGGGTGTTTTCTCTCGTACGATTTGCAAATGGCGCCAAAAATCGACAGGTCGTACTCGATCATATTTTACTCCAGTTCGTACACGAAATAGTTTATATAATTCGAGGAGATATTCGGGCGGCAAGCTAATCCTACGACCAAATTTCGTCATTTCGTATATGAATAAGCCTCGTATTTTACCAGCTATGTCGCGTATATGATCAAAATCTTTAATATTTATCGCCGATAAAGCTGACGCATCTAGCAGTAAAAGAGTGCGACCATTGATAAGATTATCCCGAAAAGTATTCTGTAAAGTTTCCAAAAACAAAAAAAAATGCATATATATATATATAAAAAAATCCTCTTGTCCAGCTAAGATATTGTTGCGCTTATTTACCTGATATTGTCGATAACCAAGATTTCTTAGCCAACGGCATATATCTTCAATAGTCCACTCATACACACTTACCATTGGGATGGCATCTACTACGTATGTGCATAAATTGAGTAAAGTATCGGGCGAACACTTCAAGATTATAGGTACGTCCTTCTTATCGAAATATACTTTACCGCTTGTGCTCCAATTCACTCGATATTTACAATTGGACAAGGGATGTATAAATTTTGGCTTTTCTTCTAGCTTAACGAATTTTTCGTCCGCTGCTTTAAGTATAAGACGCATTTCTCTTCTTTTTTGTTTCTATATATTATAAAAAGCCAAAAAAAAAAAATTAAAAGAAAAATATAACACAAGAAAAATATATATCAATAGAAATGTTTTATTAAAACTAAAAAAAAAAATTACGTTTTATCATTAATTTACTTTTTATATTAAGTTTGCCCAGACGTATGTGACACATACAAGGATTTAAGATGGACTTGTCTTTTATTATCATTAATTTAAGCCTGTCTGCCCGTTGGTCTGTCTGTTCGTCTAATGTCTTCCCACCCGAATTTTCACTAATAATTTGCAAAAATAGGGCGTTATATGGAAAAAACCTTTTTTACAAAAGTTAGCTAAGTAATAGTGTCTCCACATTCTAAATTGCTATGAAAAATTTTGATTCGGATTGAACTTCTTAATAAAGTGAAAAAGTATAATTTTTAGTATGTTATGATGGAAATTAGTTCATAATAGTAAATTGATATAGATATCAAGCTTACCGAATTCGCATCCCAAAGGTCTATTATTTGGATACCAACGCTTATAAGGATTCCCACAATACGCCGGCTTTTATTAGAAGTATGTCTTTGCATGAAAATAACGCATAAGTTTTGATGTATTATTATCAAAACCAGTGAATAACTCTATTTGGCAAAATGACTTAGGCTATCCAATAGTCGGCCTTTCTCGACTATAATGTTTTTACTTGTGATACCCATCGCCCAGGGATGACAAGTATGTTTATTTTGTCAAAACGTTTGCAACGCCCAAAAGAAAACATCAAAGCCCCCACAGAGTATACATATATTCTGGATTAGCATCAAATTCTAAATCGTTTTAAATATGTCCATCTCACCGTCTGAGTAATGTTTGTTGTAAACATTTTCCCCTCCATTTTTCAATAACTTTATAACGCGCAGAAACAAGCTTCAAAAACGCCATAATATATGTAAATCCTTGGCCACTTTCAAATTTGGAATGCACATAAACATGTCCGCCTATTCGTCTGTCCATCTGCCTGTTTGCGCAACTTTGTAGTATATGTGGTAAACATCCTGCCGTTAGCGAAGATGAAGATAACGCCTAAAAATTTGCAGAAGAACTTGGAATTGGCCTAAGTTTTTCAAAGGATACGCCTACAACGCCCTCTACAACAAAAGCTCTTATTTTGGAAATAGAAGAAATCAACTACACTCGTTCCACATTATAGAATTTTTCTTTTGTCTCCTTTTTTGGGATAAACGGTGATGGGTGTAAAAGATTCGCTCCCGACCGATATTAATTTTCTTACTTGTTTTTTTTTTTGACAAAGAAAACATAAACACGTCATAACGGATAAATTAAACAGAGAAACAGAAAGAGACAAAAGAGACAAAGTTAGAAAAAAAAAAGCAAACAGAAAATTTTCGCAGATACTTTATTTGGGATAACCAGCCGCGTGTTAAAGTAAGGTTATATTTTGGGTAGTAAAAGTTGAGGTTCTTAGTCCATCTTAACTCAGTATCCAAAAAAAGAACCTTTTCTGAATTATTATTGTCAATGAATGCTGCTTTGTTCATCTTTCTGACAACATGTGAATTCCGTGCTGAAAGTATAGACATATAGGATTTTTAGTCCCTCCTTGAGCATCGTCCGAAGACTGCTAGTCCATCTTAACTCAATATCCAAAAAAAGAATTCTGAATTCTTTGTTCATCTTTCTGGCAACATGTGAATCCCGTGTCGACATATATATACAGTATAGTCATAAATGATTTTTAATCCATTCTTGAGCATCGTCAGGAGACTACTAATGCTTCTCAGAATTGAGGGCGCAAGTGTTAGTCGGAAGAAACAACGTCTGAGCAAACCATCGACGAGCAGCGCTCGAGCAAAGAACACAATATAGAACTAAGTGCTAGCATGCTGATCATGTCCTTTGGCATTTTGCTCTTCCGCCTTTAACGATCAGCTTAATTGCTTAAATACTGTTAACGGCCGCGAATATTGTTTCTTTTTTCAGTTAATATGCGTGTACCATCTCTACTTACATAACGTGACTTAAGATCTATTTTATATCTTTAGTTAGAATATATTATTAGATATTGAAGATTGATGTCCACAATCTTGAAATCAATGTTTTAAGGCGATACCTTTTAAACATTTGCTCACTTCAAGGAATTAATGCCATAAAATGTGAGCGAAGATTATCATCCAAACATTTTGACAATCTAATAACTATTATCTGCTATAAGATGAACATGAAATGAACATCTCTTTGAATATATGGTTCTATTAACACTATGTAGCTTTTTTGCCATTTTCGCGCAAAAGTTAAACTTTTCGCAAAATATTCATATCTTTCGATCTATTTGATATTTTTCAACGAGACTTTCATTGTTGTATCCTAAAAAGAAGTCTCTATTTATTTACATAGCAAAGTATGCGTTATTCTATTCTTTATCTATACAAAATTTCTATATTCTAGGTAATCCTACTAAATTAAAATATTCTTAAATTTTTTTTAAGTATTTTATAAAAAAAAACTATAATCTGATAGTGCTTCACTGTTTGATAGCGTTCGAAACATTTGCCTTCGTGCAAGGATACCGCGTTTCACTGCGTTTTTTATGAGCGGAATACATACGAACATTTTTATTTTTGCCGGTTCCAAATACAGATTCTAACGTGTTTGTCCCGTAACAATCTACCTGGTGGATCCAAGGATTTTTTGAGATTATTAGATCTTTTTGTCATTATTATGATCCCAAACTTATTCTATCGGCAGGTAGACACATAGGGTTTCGCTGACAGTAGATTACGCGCGGCCTGCCATCCTTTTAGAGCCCTTGCTTATAAGTTTCTCGTACACTACCACTTCGCGGAACAAAACGAATAAACTCGTCTCCCGCGTTTTAGTATAAAACGGGATATGACGATTTTACTTGTTTCCCATAAAGAATGTGTTAGTACTGCTAAGATGGCGTTAAGCAAATATTTCAATTGCCACAATACTGTCACTTCATTTTAAATGTCTTAGGCCACATGAAAGTTGGGCTTAGTCGTCGTCAGCAACGATTCATGGCTTTTTAGAACTTAATTTATGCTAAGAAAAACTTCCATAAATGCTTTTTTTCACTTCTAATTTAACATATTCAAAACTCAAAAAGACTTTCTACATTTCGTCGAAACCACACCTGGAAGAGTGTAACGTAGTTCCTAAAGAGTCTTTTCCAGTACAAAGTAGCACCGGTTATGTGCATTGTTCGAAATCATCAAAAATCTTTAATATTTTAGTTATAAATCTAATCGTTCCGTCGGTAAGAGAGTAAGAGTTCAGGCTCGTTGCACTCGTTTGCTTCCCGAACCTACATATTGCAAAATACGCGAGACCAGTAAACTCAACCTACAGGATGCAGTCTACGCAATGAAATAGATTTTAATTAAGTTTTAATGAAGCCACGTAAATAATGCGTCAACACATAATAATTATTGACACACAGGACCTTTGTATAGGACGGCACTTTTTAGACGGGCTTTCGAAGCGACACAATAAAAAATTTCAGTTTTAACAAAACGACTTATGAATTAGCCGTGTTAGACGAGGAAACACTGTATTTAAACTTTAATTGACTTTAGCCCGTAAGCGACATTGTTCAACTATTTATTACCTATTACTTTTTAGAAATTTCGGTCTACATACAGCATTTTATTAAACACTTTTCCTTTCTCTCTTCCTTTCTTTTTCGTTTTATCTTTCATCTGTCATTGGATGCGCACGGTTTTTCCTTTTTTCATATTAATATTCTTAAATCTTCATTTCTTTTTTTTCACACATTTCTATTTTAATTTTGAAATGTTGACAAATTAACACTTAGCCTTACACTAGTAGAGTAGGAGTAATGCTATTTTCACATTCGTATCGGAAACATGATTGATTTGTGGCTAAACAATTTAAAAAACTTTGTGGTGAAATTGTTACAAAGTTTTCCAAACACAAAATTAGTTCAAATTTTATAAATTTGAAAGACAATTTTAACGCGATGTTGCATGTGCAGAACATTTGCATATACCATAGCAGATTAATGAAAATTTAGGTAAATAAAAACTTTAAATTGAAATTTACCACAAAAAACACAATGTTTAACATTCAATGCACTAAAATATTCAATTGTGTTTGTTGTTGTATTGGATATGTAAACAGATATATATATATATATATATATATATGTTTATGCTACGCAAGCCGAAGGTAGAAATCTTCCGTAGGATTCGCCATCCTTGGCGTCTACATACTAAAGCTACCCCCATATATACTTCGTTGACCACTCTCCTCCTCGGGACTGCCATTGGGTGTTACTCCGTCTGGGCTTATGTACTAAAGCTACCCCTCCCCTCCTCGTGACCACCACTGCATGTTACTCCGCGGAGGCCGACTACTATTATTTCGCTTGTTTTGATGAGATCTCAATGTATTCCCTTAGTGACTTCCACTATCCCTTCTCTCTACCCGCCATTTTTCTAAGCGTTGCATGTATAAGCATGTGTGTTTGTTTTTGTCTATGCCATCTAGAGGAAAGAATCTGCCAAAGATATTAATAAACCGCAACATTAGGATAAATGATTCACTGCCAATGGCGGCCATTTATTTTTCGCTTCTCGTACCACTATCAGCCGCGGGATCGTAGTTAGGTATTATTTCGTAATCGTCGGGTTTTTGCAGGGTTTTGGTAGGACCTTAGGAAATTTACTCACTGCTTATTAGTGCCTTTTCTCTCGAAGCGCCCTATTCCCGGGATAGCACAACGTTGCACATGGTATTCCAACGAAGCGGACAAAGGATTGATTTTTGTTCCATTCCGTTATGGTTTTCCAGCATAGAGTTCCAAAGATCGAATTTCCAACTTTTTGTACGCATTTTTGTGAAGATCTTTTGGTTGTTTTCCCAGGCTGCCCAGTTGACGACAGTTTGATCAATAACCGTACGTCACCGTCAACCCTCTTTGGTTATGGCATCTGCGCCACACCTCACTATGTTTTTTTCGTAAGGCGTCTCTTATAGATCGTGATCTCATAAATCCTCGTTGCTGGTATGAAGCCCTTTCCTCGGCTATTAACATGTATGATTCACCCCAATAATTTGCCAATTGTGTCCATTAGTCAAACAGAGTAATACGATGGTAGCTCGGTTCGACAGTTTATTTTATTTCGGGATAATAATTAACTTCTGTATTTCCAGTTTCTTCTAAAAAATCCTCTACCCGAGATTTTCCTACTACGCAATAAACTTTGCAGAACTGAAATGCATCACCTTAACAAGAAATTCCAAAAGAAAATTTGGGGTCCCTCATCAATACACAAAAATTAACATGCACGTAATTCAGTAGAGAGGAGAAATCATACAAAACACTTTTCTAAAATACAATTGCATTTATTTAACAATTTTTGAAAAGCTTGTTTTTGGTTTCAATGCTAAGAAATCTTACATAAGCGATACCTTAAAGCATTGCTAGCGGAACCAATTTTCGATAAAAAACTAATCAAATTTTGCATCACACAGAAATTTTCGTTCGGGGTTGGACTGGAGATGCTTTTGCACGTTGGGTCCTTCAAAAAGGACAACAAAATACATGTCTTTTAGAATTTCTACTTCATTGAAGATCCACTCCTAATCTTTTAACATCAGTAAACAATGTTATAATTAAAAAATTTTTTTAAATTTCATCCAAACGTAAAGCGTACCAATTCTTTTCGTTCGTTCCGTTCTCAAAACTTGACTTAAAATCATTAACTTAAATTTGTTTAATTTGAAGACATCTTTGCACTTGTTGCAAATTGCGGTGTTGGTTCGTTCGCACCTGGCAAACCTCCTACGCCAGAGCCTAATAGTAGCTGTTTATGTTGCATCTTTTGCATTTCCTCTACTTGAGCACGCTCTGTTTCAAATATAACAGGAGCAAAAAGTATCACAGAACTTGTAAAACAAATCCAAGAAGCACTGCATGCAGATCTGTAAACACGCATGATAACTCTGGACGTCACGCATAGCAACCCACTGGTAAATTCTCGTAACGGTTCAGGAAACATTTCCGTCAAACCCCATAAACGCTCTTTAATTGTTTCGGGAGGTTCATCGTCATAGCTTTCCTCTTCCTTATTAGAATTACTAATAGGAGCAGCAATTGCAGTTACGTTTGCAATTGCAGTTGCGTTTTCACTTGCAGTTGCGTTTTCTCTTCCAATTCCGTTTTCACTTGCAGTTGCAGTTGTAGTTGTAGTATTAGCTTCTGACGTCTTTTCTTTGCCAACGTTAACGGCGGAGATGATCTTTTCAATAAATTTCATATTCTCAAGCGATAATAGTGGAAACATTAATCAATATCAGTCTTGGGCTTGTTTTTTCCTTCTTCTTGCTTCAAAGAAAAAAATCTTTGGTTTCCTTTTACAATACGTGTAATTCTTAGTTTACAATTGTTGATTAAATGAAGTGTTCAACTTAAAATAAAAAGCAAAAGTTAAAAATCAAACATTATTATCGCAAAATGAAATTTTTTATATAAGCACGCGCAAAACGTAAACTAAGCATAAATATTCAAACCAATATTCTTCATAAAACCGTTAACAATCTTACCATAAATTCTTATATCCTTTAATGTAAAAATATACAAAATATTAACAAAAATTGAATCTATTCGATTTAAAAAGCTATACTGACTGAGCGAACAAAAAATAAATCATAAATGAAATGACTACAAAAAGGGGACAAGTTTGTTGTTTTGGTTTTTAAGTTAGTACATTTTTTTTTACGGTAAATTTTCATTTATAATAACAGTAGGCGTTTATTTCTTTGATTAGTTTATCGGAAACATCTAGAATAAAGCATCAAAATTGGGCATCGATTTTTACTAAGCAGAGTTTTGAATCCTAAATTGGCCATATTTTAAATGTACCGCAAGAATATAAAATTAAAGAGTTTTTGAAAAATTTTTGTTTCCTTCCGTAGTTTCCTCCTAATTATTGGCGCATAAGATTTTATTGTATATTAAAACATTTACTTATGGGAAAACATAATTTTTCTCAATATTAGAAACAATAACCTTTTTCTCTACCATTTTCCGGAATATTTTCGGCGAAATATATTATTTAAATGTGTTTTTTATCCAAAAAGAAATTTGTTCATCAATTAATCGCATACCTATGCGCACTAATGTAAAAGTTTGTGGAAGCTTAACAACCCTGCTATTGGAGAAAACATATGTTTATTGTTTTCAATTTTTCGGAAAATGGCAGCGAATTTTTGCAAAAGATTTTTAACTGCAAAAAGTTTAATTAATATAAATAGAAATCTTAAAAATGTGCAACGTAATTACGGTTACAAAAACAACACAACGCATCAACCATCAAAAAGTTATGGAAAATATTTATGGATTATTGGCGGCGGTGCGACTGCGATCATTTGCATAAATTTATTCAAATCCAGGACCAATTCAGTGAAAGCATTCAATATGAGACACTCAAAGGTGAATACTTTTCCAGATAAAATAAACATCTATACAAGCTCTTGTCAAAAGCTACCGCAGAAAACTGATATTAATGAATTGTAGAATACCCATCTGCACAATACAAATCAATACAGTTTTTGTGACTTAATCCATCATTTTTTCGCGCAAGTCTGCATGAATCAAAATTTCACTTATTTACATATTTGTTTATATCAGCAAAGCTTGTGCTTTTCTTATTTAAATCATAATTTGACACCCCAATAATACTGGATATTGCGAAATATTTTGTCGATCTAGTCGTATTCGTCCACTGTTCAAAGGCCGACATGATTTTCTAGCTTAGATTCATTGACCCAGATATTTAGATTTATTCTCTTGTACACATTGTCATGGAATTTGCACAACAATCTTCATTGTTTCCGTTCTGCACTCGACTGTAAAGTATTAAATTTCTTACATGTTACAAAAACTAAGTTTCGAGGCATCGATAGTTGACGTTAAATTTCTTGAACAGCATAAATGCAGGAAACAATTTAGTCATAAATGTTTAGATAGTCGTTCGTCCGAGCACGACGCCACAAAATTAATTTCAAGCTCTGTCATATGACTTTTCTTGAACTAATTGTAACATACTGATAATCGATATCCCATTTGATTTTTTGTACCCTCCACCACTTGTGGTCCAAGAACTGTTAACAGTCTCATCTTACATTATATTGATGAATTCAGAATCACTTTTTGCATCGATTTAAGCTTGTCCGTTCGTCTGTCGATGTTGTTTTTTTGTGTTAAACCTACACGCGGTAATTAATGAAATTTGGTGCACCCAATGCCTTGGGCCAAAACTGAACGCTATTAAAAAGCGGTCGGATTGGATCAAATTTTCGTCCATTTATATAAAATCCTATTTTCAAAAGCCGTTCTATGAATAACAGTACTAAGCGAAGTCGTGCAAGGTATTTAATAGTGAGCCATATCTCACTGTATTAATCTTTTTTTGTTTTCAAATTTATTGCAGTATGATGAAGATTCAACAATAAGCAAATTGACAGCACGTGAAAGACGTTTCATAAAGTTTGCGTCCAGTGAATATGATGGCCAATTATATATGACACCACAAGATTTTTTAGAATCAGTTGTCGAACAAGAACCCAGACGTAAATATACTAATGAACGCAGCAAGCAACTTTCTGCTTAATTACAAATAAATTTTTTCTTTTATAAAATGAAGCTCGCTTGAAACGTCGCATACTAAATGAACGTGATATAAATTCAATGCGTGACGAAACTCCTCCGTTGAAGAAAGGTTCAAATCAATTGTTTAGAAAATTAAGGGATCGAGGTAGCTTCATATACACATAAAGTTGAATTTAGTGTTTTGAAAAAATCTCGTCTTTTTCTTTTAGGCATTATTTCCTATACGGAGTATTTGTTTTTGTTATCAATTTTAACAAGTAAGTGAAGCATATATCGCAATTAACGTTCGTATATATTAAAAACTCTGTGAAGAATGTGAAAAACACCATAAAAAGAATTAAAAATTATTTAATTTGTCTTCTACTCCTAAACAATTATTTATAATAACATTAGGCATACATAACCTAACAAAACAGAAAGTAACATTACCAAAAAAAAGTAAATTCGAAACCTACAATTTAATCTTTCCAGAGCCGCAATCAGGTTTCCGTATTGCTTTCAATATGTTCGATACTGACGGCAATCAACGTGTGGATAAAAATGAATTTCTGGTGGTAATAACAATTTAACGTTTTTTTTTACACCCATCGCAATGTTCTCCGAGAAACATATATAACTCGACGATCTTATAAAACATATACGTTTTTGAACGGGATGAAAAGCGCAATTGATTTAGTTTTGTGTTTGTCTGTTGTAACCTCGGTTATTACCTGATCTCAAAATTTTTATATAACTATTACTGGATAAATCGTGATTACCAGGTCAATTGGTAATTTTAACCTTATTTTCTATAACGTGTACCGTACGGGATGCAAGGGTATATTAAGTTTGTGCGGAAGTATGCAGCGCATAAAAGGACTTGCAATAGACCTGCATTTTATTGTAGGAATCGGTACAGAAAGCGATTCTGCTATTGATTCGAAGCTTTTCTGTCTGTCTTATTTTCTTGCGGTCAATCTATAAGTATTAAATTTTAAGATATTTTCCTGAAATTTGGTTCACTGACGTCCTTTGGTCCAAGGACAACCATTATTGGAAACGGTTCTATTCGGACCACTGGCCTTGTAAAGCCTTATTTTGAAAGGTCGTTATATAAATATGGATTATAAGGTGGTGCAGGGCACTTGGCGGTGGGCGAGTAGTTTGCAGGGTTGCAATGGCAAATCGTATCTAAATGTAGTATGATTTGTGTACCGTGCAATACTATCGATTTATCCTTTAAATTGATTTTGCGCTCGTCTAAACAGTATGAATAACAAACGCAATCTTTAACTGGATAAAAAATCTTATTTGAAATGTAGAGAATGTTATAGAGATAATGTGATGAAATCAGGAATTAAATATTGTAGGCTTGTGATGGGTATTGAAATATTCGGCAATTGTCGGATATAAATTTTTGTTTTTTATTTATTTTTACTTAGAATTTTCATTTCAATTTTTCCCTCAGATTTTAAAAATTTTGGGTTTTTCTTTTCGTAATCACGATATGGACGACGAAACAAGACGAGTTGTAAGCATTTTTCTTTTATCATTTATTATTTTATTTTTTATATAAATTTGGTCAATATTTTTATGTATTCAATTTTCTGAAAATTTAGCCAGCCTTATGGGAATTATAGTAGGTCTTATAATTGAATTTTTCATTTTATTGGTTTTTTTTATTTTTTATATGGATTATTTGCTAAATATTTTCATTTGTATTTAGCTTAAGCGTTTAGTTTCCACTGAAGAACAAGCCAGAGAGCTATATTATTTAAAGAAAAAGGTCAAAAAGGATAATAAAAATACTATAGTAAGTCGATCAGTTTCCTTAATATTATTCGGTTAGTTTAGTTTGTTACTAATTTCAAATTAAGAAAATCAATTGTCTGAAACGAAGTTTGACAACCTGAAGCTTGTAATATATTGCGTAACTTCTTGTAAATATCAAAACTTTAAGGGCAATGCTGGCGTTATATTATAATTTGATATGTTTAGTTCTATAATTTGTTTGAATTTGCTTTGATTTATTTATTTGTTTGTTAATATTTATGAAATTCTTTTTTATTCTCGATCAACATTGTAAGTACGCTTCGATATTCACTTAAGTTTAAATTTGTATTTATTTTTCCTTTAGTTTATGTTTGTTTTTGTTTTTTTAAACTTTTTCATGCCCATCTCCAATGAACGGACCTTTCATTTGTTGCGTGGAATAACTAGCCTCGCAAATCTCGCCCATGTTCAGCATAAACTATTCAGGCATATCCATTTGTCTGTCCGTCCGTCAGTCGCTTGTTGTTGTTTTGAAATATTACCAAGCGGAAATTCTTGTTCGATCATCGTAGAGCAAGTGTAAAGAGTGAGCGAGACTTGTAACGGTGTAAAATATTAATCTGAAGTTTTGTTTGTATTTGCAGTTGAGGCAATTTGGGAACATGATTACTTTAACACTAGATTGTGGGGTTTGGGATTTCAAGCTCAAAAAGTCTACATACGAAAGTAGTCTTCAGCGGTTACATATTCGCTTCTACTCCTTTTTTCTAGGCCACGCCTACTTTACTATTTCTGGATGCACTATATCTATTTTTTTATTAAAACCCATCAATTTGAGGGGTAACTTTGCGAATCGTCACAATCGCGAAATTAAAGATAGAAGTAGAATAGGAAGAGAATAGAAGGTGTAAACATTCCCTCTTCGATTAGGCGTATGAGCTTAACAAATAGGCTTGATCCGTTCACATACACGCCATTCATACACAAGGTAGAGAAAACTAGAACAACCTCGCAAAATATCAAAAATTGTTTAAATTTTCCTCCCATGATTATATATTTTTGGAAAATTGGTACCCAAAGGTTCGCCTGATGCACTTTCATACTGAATTCAAAAATTATCCCGATAAGTTGGTTAACATGCCCACAATTAACCAGTTCGAGCCCAATGCTCGTTAGCCGCCAGCCAAGATTGTAGTTCGAATGTCTGCTATCCAGCACCATCTGCACATTCAAGGCAAATTCACTTCAGTGCTCGGTAGATTGAATGGAAATACAAGTCGGAATTAAAATTTTATCGTGGATTTGGAAATAAACCGGCGAAGACTGCTATCCGAGTGTCCGCCATCCAGTACCATCTCCATGTTCAGAGCAAAAATTTTCACGTCCACCCATTCCTACTCGATCATGGAATGTTTACATCAAATTTTCATCTTTCTATCTCTATTTTTGCGACTTTAACGCTTCACGATAATCACATGCCAAAGTGACATGTTTTAGCATAAAATAGGTATAGGTTCGTAAAAGTGTTAGCATATCTTATTCTAAAACTTTGATTCGTCTTCTTAAAGATCCGCTAACTAACAGTCACATAATTAACAAAATTTTTCTGTATTATTCTGCATATTAATTTAAGGAGATGGGTATGAGGTATTCGTCATAAGGCGAATGTAAATTGCATACATTTTTATATTCCTTCACCTTCCGTGAATAGTTTAATCTTTAACAGTACATTGGTTTTAATTCGACCTTTCCCCCATCACGCTTTTCGCCCCATCCCGCTTAGATGGAGCGCATTTTTAGCGGCGCTTGGAAAGATAAACATGGTAAAACTAACAAAAATAAAGAGGACGAAGACGACACAAATGTATCGAATAAAACTCCAGAAGAAGTTAAAGAGGAGGTAAAAACTTCATAAAACACATAATAATGCATGATCGTATCTTATAGCAGATATTAACTAATCACCTCAAAAGCATAATAAATAAATGGAATGTACTACTTATTCGACAGGATAATTATATTGATGATGAAGAAGGCTTGCAGCGTAAACATAAAGTGGATACAACTTTGCAAATTCATTTATTCGGCAAAAAGGGAAATCGGGATCTTCATTATGAGGGCTTCCATAAATTCATGGATAATTTGCAAACCGAAGTCTTGGAATTGGAGTTTAGCGAATTCTCGAAGGGTAGTTTGATTATAACTGAATTGGATTTTGCAAAGATTCTTTTGCGTTACACATATTTGGATACCGATGAATACGATAAGTTCCTAGATCGTCTTTTAGAACGCATTAAACATGAACAACATGGCATTACGTTTAACGAGTTTTGTGATTTCTGTCATTTTCTAAACAACTTGGACGATTTTGCCATAGCGATGCGCATGTATACCTTGGCTGAAAGGGCTATTTCCAAAGGTTTATTAATGATACCAACGCTTTATTTATTTATATATTTATTTTGTTTTTGACATGATTTTTTTTATTTAAGATGAATTCTCTCGTGCCGTTAAAATTTGCACTGGTCGCAGTCTTTCGATGCATTTAATTGATACAGTATTTGCTATTTTCGATGCCGATGGTGATGGGTTGTTATCTTACAAAGAATTCATAGCCATCATGAAGGATAGATTATATCGGGGCTTCAAGGTAAGTAAGAAATAGTTTGATAACTTTGATCTGAAGTGAGTGCACTTGTAGTGTAGGTCGAGTAATATATTCATTTTGTCAAAATAGTTGTAAAGCCTAGAAGGAAAGAGAAGCTTCAGACACCCAGCGTTAAATTTTCAATAGACTTCAATTTTCTCAAAAATGTTGAAATTTCTTGTATGTATAATAGTATTAAAAATAGGCCAAACGCGGTCGGAGAACATGCCTATTGACGTATCATATCAAAAGGGATCACCTCCATTTTTGAGAGAAATAAAAAATCGGCCAGTTTCATATTCGAAATGCATCTAAGCATATCCGCCCGTTCGTCTGTGCATGTGGCTCTTTGCTCAACTTTGGTAAACATTCTCTCTTTAGGGAAAATGAATATATCGCCTATAAATTTCCAAAATAATTTGAAGATGAACAAAACCGATCAAAGAATCCGCCTACAACGTCCACGCGTCTATGCGATAAAACTGTGAACACCTTTACTTTCCGCTTGTTACTTATAAAGCACTACCCATACACCATATAAACTTCTGATAAGAATAAAATTCTGAATCGATTCAACTAACGCCTATCCATTT